GACGACATCAAACAAACGTGTTTGGTGTCGCCGCTAAAAGCCAACGTCGCTATTATAGGCTGATGCTGGCGATCCGAGACTATTTAATCCCATCCATCGGTTTCAGCAGTGATCTAACCGTTAGGAAGACGTAGGAACCCAGACATCGTTTTCCTTCAGGTTGTCACAACAAATGCCCTTTCATTGCCGCTAATGCTCAAACATCACCACTAAAAATCAACAACAATAAAAGTATTTCGTCCGCAATTTCTTTCCCATAGAATAATCTTTCCCTCATCATCCTTAGTTTTATCTACTCACCATCGATCTTTGCAAAATCACCGACTTGTACATTGTCGAAAGTCGTCACCAGTTGTGGGTTATTACCGATGACGATTTAGCTAATTACCAGCTACGGCAAGTGAGACTTCGTTGTGTTTTTTTTTTTCTTTTTTTTTCGTTTCCTTTTCTTGTCCCCCTACTGGATACTCATATATGTTGTGTTGGTTGCAGGATTTTCCAGCATCCTGCTAAAATTTTGATTCCCTCACCGGAATCCTTGCTGCTGTTAGGGGATATCGTCACCATCACCGTACTCGCCAGCGTTATCCACCACAGCTACAACAAGTTCTATTTTATATGTTTGTTATATATATATATATATATATATATATATATATATATATATATATATGTGTGTGTGTGTGTGTGTATGTATGTGTGTATGTGTGTGTTTGTATATGTATTACGTATCTATATTTGTATTTGTATGTGTATCATGTTTGTATGTATACTATGTACGTATATGTGTCTTTTTATGCATAGAAAATTATGTATGTAGTTTGAGTATTTGTATTCAATTTAAAAATTACAAAGCTATAATGGAAAAAGATGGAAAAAGTTGGATGTTATAATCACCATGACATTAATTTGTAAAGTATAATGCTATAATGTAAAGTATGAAAAAAGTAGTTTGTGTATTCATATGCAATTTCGAAAGTACAATGCTATAAAGGAAAAAAAATGAAAAAATAGGATGCTATAATCTTCAAGACGTTAATTTTTAAAGTATAATGCAATAATGGAAAGTATGAAATAAAATTTAGGATGCTATAATGGAAAAATAAGCATGCCCTTACTTTATAAAGTATAATACTATAATGACCATGACCTTAGTTTCTAAAGTACATTAAGTTCATATGTTTGTATTTGTATATAATTTGGAATGTTCAAGTGCAACAATGGAAAAAAATGAAACAAAAATGTAGTTTGTGTATTTGTATGTAATTTCGAAAGCACAATGTTATAATGGAAAATACAATGCTACCTTTTACAAATATTATATTTCTATAATGTACATCTTATCATTTTGCAGGCTATATATGGGTTTTATTTGGGTGATAGTCTTTTACATTATGGCCAATGTAATGGGCTTAGGACACGGAGGTGATGGACTCGGGGATCTGCTACCTCCGGTAGGCTTTAGTCGTAGACAATACGAAGAGGATGATAAGTCTTATCATGATATATTTATTAGATATTTTATTCATTTATCATAAACTATAATGACTAATATTTTTAATTATATTTTCAGTTGAGCTACTAAAAAAGGAAGAGGATTATCGAAAACATCTAACTCTGAATGTTGATACGAGCAAAGAAGGGAAAACCTATGGGTTTGGGTTTTCACAGAGAGCTCACATTTTCTTCTGTTGGGAAACATGGAAATACGTTTACCCATTAAATTGGACAATATATGTGGTAGAACATCCCTTTTAGCGTATCTGGTTTAGACAATGTTTCCCTCGCTTTATTGACTGTTACAGTCGTGAATCTGAAGGTAAATTATTTATATGATAATATTTTAAGTTTAGTTATGATTGGTATTTAATTAACTCTTTTTGTATTTGTAGAGTAAGTTTGATTTAGATAGGGTTAACTTGGATCCTCAGTTTGCTCAATTGTTGTAGAGCATTGATGCGACTCTATAAAAATAAATTATAGAGGCTAGAAAAGTAAAGCACATAGTTATTTTCAGAATGTCGGATGGTTTGCAGATATTCCAAGGGATTTAGCCACCCCTCCGGATGGTATGTCACATGAAAATTAGGCACAAACAATCAAACATTTTCAAACGCCCAAATTTATAAAGCATTCAGCGGTAAACAAAGGAGTTTGTGCACAACAACAAGTTGTAAATAGAGGGGGGTCATGCTCGTATAACACTGTCTGTTTCAAAAAAGTAAGTTATGATATATTTAACTATTTTTTTTTAAAATATAATTAATTTAATTTTTAATATTTAATAGGTCATCACTAGTCTCGAAGCATTTCGTAAGGCTAATACTGATCGTTAAGGGGTATTTAGTAGTCATACATTCACACAACAATATGTAAATGGTTAATTTGTATTTTCATATAAGTGTTTATATATATATATATATATATATATATATATATATATATATATATATATATATATATATATATATATAATGTTAATCATTTTTTAAAATACAGAATGTTTTACTACAAGAGATCAATCAACAAAAAATAATTTTCTTCTGAAGCAAGCGGTCTAACATCATAGAACATAAAACATTGTTTTGAAAGAATTTTGGGCGCTCGGCACCGCCATATCAGAGGCATTAGACGTAAACCATCTACGGTTGTGTCGATGTATAGTCAGGAACAACCACTGACACGGCCACCGCCACAATCACATGTAATTGTTAATTTAGTATAGTATAATACTTTAATGGAAAAATGAAAAAAAAATAAAATACAATGCTATAATGTATATGCAATATGTGTAGGATATATCATGTATGTTTTAGTGTATATGGAAAGTACAATGTAATAATGGAAAAATGTGAAAAAAAGTAGGATGTTATAATCATCATGACCTTAATTTGTAAAGTAGAATGTTATAATGATATGTTGGTAATATCTTTTGTACTTTACTTATATTTTCGTAAGTTTAGTTATAGTAAAAATGTTATAATGGAAAAAAAAAAAAAAAAAAAAAAAAAAAAAAAAAAAAAAAGCACAATGCTATAATGTATATGCAATATTTGTAGGATGTAGTTTGGTTATAGTTTCATGTGTTGGTATTTTGTAGTTTGATAATTGTTAGTTTATTATAGTACAATGCTATAATGGAAAAATGAAAAAAAAAAAAAAAGGTGCAATGCTATAATGTATATTTAATGTGCAGGATATATGTTTAAATGTATTTGGAAAGTATAATGCTATAATGGAAAAATGAAAAAAAAAAAAAAAAAGTAGGATGCTATAATCATCATGACCTTAATTTGTAGATTAGAATGTTATTATGATATTTTGGTAATATATTTTGTTTTCTTTGTAGTTGGACATGTTGCAAACAATGCTAAAAGACTCGACGTGTGTAGCACCGGATGAATGATTTCGATTGTTGTCACCATGACATTAAACCTAAGGAAACGAGGGGAGTAATGAAGATGAGTTGTTACATTTATGATCTGTATAATGTTTTATTTGGATTTGTATTTTAGATTAGTATTTTGGACATATTGCATTATGTTTGGATGAGTATTTTAGATTGGATGTCGTATATATCATTAAGTGGTTAATGTTTCAAACTATTTTTCTACAAATAATGTTTCATAGCAGTTTTTATATTTTTTTATATCGTTTTTTTAATTTTAATGTTAAATACTAAGAAAATGGAAAATACAATTAGTGGTGATAGATGAGTATTAGTGGAAATGTTGTGTATTAGCTGCAATCTTTAGAGGATTAGTGACGAAGCAACAACGGCGGGCTTGTAGCGGTGAAATCATGGACTTTTAGCGGCGACGTTTATTGATGCCAATACTCGCATTTCTTGTAGTAGAGACGGAGTTGTACGTGTTGCATGTCTTCTATTCTTGCATTGCGATGGGTAGGGCAAAACTAACATATTGAATTTTGTTCAACGTCCTTGCCATTTCACTTGTGGACCGAGTTAGATGAAATCATCGAACCAAGTCCAAACTCTTAAATGTTATAACAAACATGTTGAATCAAATTTTTGGACACAAACCTCACTTTTGCACTGGTCCATACTTAAATCAAAAACATCCTTAGATTACTCAATTTCCCATAAATTTTACGATGCCATGTTCACCAGATAATAATTTTCAAAATAATAAAATAAAATAGTTAATATATATTAAACTAATTTATAAATTTTAAAACTTATAGAGAAATATTAATCTGTGTGGATGACAGTCCATCTTTTTTCATGATCGGCATGCATATATCAATTTATCCTTCAATTTTTATCATTTTTCATAATTTTAAATATATAAACAAAATTTATCAAACATAAAAAACCTATGTTTTGTAGTCACTACAGTTTTTAAAATTTTAATATAAAATCTTAAAATAACTTTGAACTCATACGAATAAATTTTTATAAATTAATCTGCTAATTTACATTTTTTTCCCTTTAAAAAATGCACACTTGTCAAACTCCACAAGCATCTCATTTTTCAGGAGCATGACCAGGACCAAGACTCCCACCACCACTCTCTAGCCTTCTTCTTCTCTCTATCTCTACCTCTATATGTCTAAATCTATATCTACTCATATTTTACTTTCACCAAATCAAGAATTCAAAGATAAACACAAAGGAAATGTTTAACACCATCAGATCAGTTTCCTTCCAGATCAAACAACCAGTCGGTAAAGTATCTACGATCATCAGAAGTGTAAGAAGATCCGGCAGTGGCCCTTCCATTAACAACCAGACAAGTCCTAACAAAGCGGAGAAGATTCAACACTCTCAGGAACCTACTCACGAAGGGTAACCCTATTTACTCTTACGTATTGTAGTTGAATATGTTTAATGTATTTGAAGTAGAGTCTTACGTTACATATTGTAAGAAGGGATCATGTGATGTCGAATTCATTCGGAGATGGATACTCAACAAGGTCAGACGAGGAGGGTTTTGGAGGTACCTTTAGCGGAAACCAATCTCTTTCGGGTAGAGAGCAGGAAAAAATTGTTAGTGCGAATGCTCCAGGTATGTTCTTCTAAAGATATCTTTGTTTTTGAAGCTTCAAACCAACGACGCTAACGTAATTAATGATTTGTTTTGATTAAAGAATATGACAGGAGTCAAGGGAGCGACACAACAGAAAAGGAGGATGGACGAAATCAGCCATAATTCTTTACTTTTGGCATTTTTATCGTGTTTATTTCACTAATGTAATGTAATAAATTTAGTGACTTATTTGAGATATATTTAGTCATTATATATCATAAGATTTTTATGGGATTGATTAAAGATAGAACATCAAAAGAGAGGGATGTGGAACCAATGGATGTCAACACGCCTCCAATGAGGAATGAAGGTAGAACGAATGCGTCACATGTGCAGTGTTGTGATTTTAGTATGATTAGATCATTTTAGCAAAATGAAATTTATAAGATTATCAATTTCAAGTCTTGATTTAAACAAGTCAGGAGATGCAAGTTTGCTTTGGAATCTCGATACGACCATAATGACAGAAATAACGAGTATTAAAACTCATTGATGATGGGTGTTTAAATTCATTAATAATCGGTTATTGTAACATTTGAATCCGTAGTTAGTATTTAAACTCACTGATGTTAATTTATTAGCCTAAGCCTGAGTTCAAAACCTTGCGGACTAAAGAATAGTTTCATAAAATGCCTTTTGGCAATTAAAATGATCGGTTCCTTATTTATATCTTAAAAGAATTTGAAATCCCCTGAATTTCTAGTATGTGATTTTATAGTAGTGTTTTGATTTGCAATTGTTTCTTGACGGATTAATCCTATAATTTGGTTTTCATGATACCCAAATGTAGTCCCGGAGCTACATGGGACACTACTACAACATTCCTAACAAAATTGTTTTATATATATATATACTAGCCTTTTACCCGCGCTAAGCGACGGGTGAAAATAGTTTCCTTCGGCAATTATTTCTATTCGAAAACATGGATGATTGGGAACTTAGCTTTGACAAAGATTTAATTTGGGTGAGTAGGTTTATTTAGGGTTTACGGTTTTGGATTTCAGGATATGTATTTTAGGTTTAGAATTTTGGGTTTAACGTTTTTCATTTGATTTTAGGTTTGGGTATAAGAGATAGTTCAATCAAGTCATTTCCTTATATTTAGGTCGAAACAGGTTTCCATCCTTAATTTTTTTTAGAATAATTTATTTTTATGTGAAAAAGATCTCTATGGTCGGTGGTCGTATGTAGGTACATAAATTGGAAAAAGGCAAGCACGGGACCTTTGAGCCGTAATTTTTTTATTGAATAAGTTCCTAAAAAAATGACTAAAATGAGAAGGTGTTAATTTGGAGCAGACAATGGAAGACTCACGTAAATTACATGGAATCGGTCACGAGACCGGAAGTGATTTATAAAATGTTGGAACTGGTTGCACAACTATTTAAAATTCGGGACCTCTTTGAAGTCGGCCAAAATAGTTCTAATACAATCGGGTTCCTTATCTCACCTATTTCGTGCCCCTATTATCAAGGCGTTATTGTTTTGAGTTTTGACTTGGCTCATTCTCTTATCTCAGCATTTCCCCATATCTTTGCAGTTTTGTTCATTGTTCATATATAGACACATTCAAATAGAAGCCCCCCATTACTCCCTCATCACATTCATCTGGCATGGGTTTCTCTATGACATTTTGAGAAATATTTTTATTTATAGTTTAGTATTTAAGATTTAAGGTTTATGTTTTAGAATTTGGGGTTTGGGGTTTAGGGTGTGACCAATATTATTCACATAGTTGTTAGTGGTGTGGTTGTAAATGGGACATCTTATACATATATTCAAATGGTTATTTTAGTTTCTAGAAATGGTAATTATGTATTTTTTATGGAAATTTCAATAGTTAATCTAGTTTTTTACTGGTTCATAGTAAAATGTTTCACTTATCTATCTTTTAGTATCTAGACTATAATCTTGCTAAATCCGACTGGATTTGACAAAGTCGAACCAGATTGAAAAATTGATCAAATGTTCACTCAAACATGTTTCGGATTGATAATGGTATGTTGTTTATGGGTTGAGATATTTGTTATTCAATTCTCATATTCGACCGTTCCAATTGGTTTTCTTATGTATTGCCTTGCTTCGTCTCTCCTCAAATCTGTTTCCGGCCCATAGTCATCAACCTAAACTCTTCGGTTGTTTAATTAGGCTATAAGTCACATTTTTTTCCTTAAACATAGTTAACTGAAAACCTGCATGGTTCCACTCTGCAAGAACTCCGAATCATTCTCTTGAAGCTCATCCTCTTCATCATAAACGATCCGCTTGCCCCAAAATGACCTGAACCAATAGGGAAATCCCAATTCATTGGGCCTTTCGATACAATCAAATAGAAAGCCCCAAGGGCGCCATATTCTTGGAGCCCAAACTATGTGATTGAATAAATCCTCCTCTATCTGTTGCCGGTCGTCCCCCTCTTCAAACTCCGATTCGTCAGTTAACTGAAAACTGAAATATTTGTTCAAATATTATTTATTATAGATTACCTATTCCATTTGAATTATTACTTATTATAAACTGTTATTTATTATAAAACCAAATATTTTCTATGCTATTATTTATTATAAATTACATATTCTATTTAACATGTATCATTTTCAATTATCGTTTATCCTTTTAGATAGTAATTATCCTTTTTCTAACTTATTGTTTTCAAATTTTGTTTTATCATGAAGAGTGGATATAGTTAAGATACAGTGAATCAAATTATCAATTATTAAGGTTCGTTGAATATTTTGATTCAAAATAAATATAGGGACTATCCTACATAACGCCGTATTAAATTTTCATTGTTAAAAAATAGATTAGAATATCAGAAAATAAAATAGATTTTGGTTAATCTATATTAGTCCCTTCACTTTCGGTGAAAAAACAATAAAAATACGTAAGATAATTTAAGTTGCTTATTATAGCAACCTACTTTAGTTTGAGTTAAATTTGGTTTGTCATATTAATGTACTTTTATTGACATAGACAATTTTTTGACTTAAAAGTGGTCCAATATGGACAATTTTGGCTCTTGTGGTCCAATAAATAGTAAGTTTTTTGTAGTTAGATTAGAAAAAGATATTCTGGTTAAATGTTTAGTTTGGCTATTAAAAGGATCATTTTTTGCTGTCAAAAATGTCCTTTTTGTTGTAAAAATGGTAATTTTTTGTTGTTAATTTAGTTATAAAAAAAAGGTCTAGTTATACGCTATTTTTTGATGTGAAAATGGTAGAACTATGGTGAATACATTAAATTTAGAATAATATGCTTGGATTTCTTAAGCCTAATATCCTCATAACATCTTGAAGGGGTATATACTAAAGGTTTCCAAATAGATAGATCAATTATCAACTTCAAGCATAAGTAATGTTTATAAGCATATTTTCAAAAAAAAAATTTGCTATCAATCAACTGAATGGTCTTGTAACTCAGAAACATAACCAAATCAATAAAAAGAAGGTAAACACAAGTTTAAAAACAAATACAACTCTAATGACTCTTCACTATTTACATGTTCTAACCAAAATAATTAAAAAAAATCAACATTATTTGGATCAAAGGCATGAATTCTAATAAACATGGAGGTTAATCCACATGGGAAATTGGATTGGAAGAGGTTAAAATTACTTCGGTAAATCTTTGCTTTACATAATTCTTTATCTCTATCTCTTAGGTTGTATTTACCTACCACTCATAGCATACAATTTTTATTTTTCATTTGTGTTTATGTTGGATGGCTCACACTCCACTGAATTTTGATTTATAATTTATGACCAATATACCCCTCACCTACCACAATACATAATTAAATGAAACTTACAACTCTTCTACGCTACTCAACACAGCCAACTGTAGAAAGGATACTTCCAGACATGTTTTTGTTAGATAATTTTCTGCTTAAAAGGGTAGAATAATCAATACAAACCATAAACACGGTTCTAAACTTTCTAATTTGAAATTACTATTGAGATAACCATCAGCTGAAAATAAGAATTATATTCTAGCCATGACCATGGAACCAACAACATGTCACCACCTTTTTAGGCCAACTCTAAGGATTTATAAACCAACATCATCCTTACAATCATATCCCCTAAATTATCATAAAAGACCATAATACCCTCATGATTTTTATGTTTTTTGCTATCGTACCCAAGAAAAAAGAGTGTAAAATAGGCATATCATCAACTATTTTCACAAATGGTGGGCATTTTTCAGGTAGTACCAAATCTTAACGGTGTAATGCGTACACAAATTTTAATCCATTGAAACACCAGAAAACATATTGGCCTTTATTAAATAATAAACAAAAAATTAAGTACTCTGATAAAACCATTTTAAATCCAGGTGGGTAAAGAAATCAGAAAAATGTTAGTCATTGTAAAAATAATTAAACATAAATCCATTTCTTTCATCAGTTACACAAACCTAGAGATATTAAGCTTGAATAAACTCACGTGTTGGCTTCTTCCTTTCTGATTTTTTTGTCTTCCTACATAATTTAGCTGACAAAATCGGTTAACACACAAGAAATCAACACACATTTATAGAGAAAAAGAGATCAAGTTACATCCTATTATATAAATAGGAAACCCTAACACCCAAATCAACCAAATAAAAATTTTATGTACGAAATGAATAGAAATACATACACATTTTCATCAGATACATGGCATAAGTTTTTCTTATGAATCAATAAGATGAAAAACCTACAAGATTTGTGGTGTTGACAAATCTTTCTGAACGTTATGCTCCAGGAAAAAAAATCAATACTAGAAAGATGAGAACAATTGCTTGCCTTAAAATCGGAATTGAGAGTGAAAGAAATATAGAATCATTGCTTACCTTCAGGTATCGAGTGAGAAAATAGAAAAGAGAGAAGGATGAGAGTAGTGGTGGCGGTGGTTGCGTTAACTGGCGTTGAAGGTGGTGGTAGCGACTTCGATTAGGCGTCAATTCACGATGGCGTTGAGAAATTTCAATGCCAAGCATATTCCAATTGATGCTAATTTTTTTAACGAAATAGAAACACAGTGGGATAAATATAAGAAGATAAAGAAATTAAAAAAAAAACCTCTATCCTTAAATCACGAAGGTTCAGATTCAAGAATCAAATTGAAGAGATGATGTATACCTTCTTGGGAGCGAGT